AGAAAGAATATTCCTGGATAATATAAATGTTCACCTTATAGCAATTGATTTACTGTCACACACCTCAGGAATGTTTCCAAAGTGTCAACAAATAGCAAAGTACTAATGACAAGGATAATAAATGATGAACTCCTAGGGAATTTGTGTAAGAGTCTAGGTTGCCTATTTGAATTCAATTTAGAATAATAATAAAACAATACCATCCCTCTTCTTTAAACCTGCAAATCTTTTTAAATTATTAAAATCTTGTGATCATTTTAAAGCAATAAAAAGCAGTTAACATGATCATTGTATTACTTGTTACATCTTATATACACCAGAGACCAAAAGTCTTCAAGAGGTAGTAAAAACTCAGAACCGTGGCCCTCAGATGTCATCTGACATACAGATTACTGAGATTCCCAAAAGCACAACTTTCATTTCCATTCAAAGATGGTAAAGTTGATATAATATGATGAATCGTCAAAGTTAATTAGCTTAATTTTCATTGGCTTAATCTTTATTTTAGGGCTAGAATTTGCTTATCTATGTATTTCAATAATGTTTTTCCCTCTTTAATAAAATAATTTGCCTCTAATAATTTATTGACCAAATAAAGCCTTTACTTTGTAAAACTGCAAGGATATGATTACTTTTTTCCTATTTAAATTGTTCTCAGAAGACAAGAAAAAGACTTTCTGGTTTACAAAATAAATGGTTTCCCTTGATCAGAAAAAATGAAGGTTGGCATATGCAATGTTGGGGGTGGCAAGGATTAGTTTATGACTGAGACACAAAAATTCTGGCTTTCAAGTTTTGCCACTGTCCATCTCTCAAGAATCCTACCCTCCCTGTCTCTCTGTTTTAATCAAAGAGATTCCACTTAATCTTATGTAGAAACTTAAATCTTGAAAGCACCAAGAAAATATTTCAAATAGGAATCATTACAACCCTGAGCATGATAAGATTAACATGTCTTAACCAAAAACGAAGCTCCTCCTTCCAGGTTTTAGCTCCTAGAGGAAATGTTTACATCTTGCATTTCAATCCTATGAATGCAAATATTGTCCAGTTATTTACAGAGTATAACCCACTTACTTTTGATTGTTATTTCCACCAAAATAGGCTTGTAAATTAAAAAACAATTGTACAGGCAGTGGGAGGAAGTTTGAAAAAGCATGGGATAAGAGGGTAAGAGCTGGGCATGGTGGCTCATGCCTGTAATCCCAGCACTCCGAGGCTGAGACAGGAGGATTGCTGTAAGTTAGAAACCAGCCTCGGCTACAAAGTGAGTTCAAGGCCAACCCACACTGCATGGCAGACCCTGTCTCAAAATGACAAAATGAAAAACAAAAACATGGGGTATTTAAGAAAGTTTCAGGACTGGCCTAAGTTTAGAGTTTATCTAGATGAATTATAAAATATGAGGTTAGAAAAGCAAATTGGAAAGAGATTTCCAAGAGTTTTGATTGTCAGCCTGATAGTAGCAAAAACACTGAATGAAAATTGATACAAGTCCTTGTATGTGTCTGGCATAAGTTTTCTTAACCAGGGCTCTGATCAGTTACCTTGAGAATTATTATCACCTTTTCAGATTTTGGAAAATTTAGATAATTTTCCCAAGGTTACATACTTTGTAAGTGGTAGGGCTAAACTTAGAGCCCAGGTCACTCTTAATCCATAAACTGAGGATTTAGGCTGCCAGGAGTCTGGGTCTTATCCTACAGGTTTAAGTAGTTGTGTGCCTTTAGTTTCTATTTATCAAAATTTTGTGTGCAAGAAAGTCTAGCTATCATACAGGGTTTACTATGAAAGGCTATAATCCTCACTTGGCATGGTAGTATGTGTTTATAATCCCAGTATTCTGAGAGGCCAAGGCAGGAGACTGCAAGGTTAAACATAGCCAGGGGAATTTAGTGACTTAGTGAGACCCTGTCTCAAAATAAAAAAAATTTAAAGAGCTGGGAATGTCCTCTCCTTGTGTTTACCCTTTTTTCCTCCCAGAAACAAACTCTTTCTTTTAAATTATTATTATTATTAATCTCTAAGTCTTCATATAACATTCCTTTTACAGCAATCTTTACATAACCACAACATCTTCCAGGATTACATGTTTTCTGCTTATCTGTAGTAAGAAAAGGCTTATCTCTCTTTTTCTCATTCCATGTCTATACCACAAATATCCTTCACATAAGCATAATTTTATCAAAATTCAACATTTGCATTATTTGGACTAGGTAAATATTCATTACTGAGCCAAGTAATACTACTGACATTAATTTCTTCTCTGGAATAAACTTTTACTTTTCTTAGATTTAATAATTTTCTTGTTTTTTTTTATAAAAAATGCTTTATTTTCTTTTTTATTTTAAAGAGGGTAAAACAAAACAAAACAGAACAAAGCAGATCAGAAGAAAACAATGCAATTGTTTCAAAACAAGACAACAGGAGATCTTCAATGGCTACGGTAATGTGTTTTCTTCGAAATAGTTGTCTATATCTTCACACACGATGAATTCAAACAAAACAAAATAGTATAAAATTGATCAAAACAGAACAATGAAAGCATTTTAGGACTTCAAAACCAGACAATAGGAAATCAACGATGGCTACCTTAATGTCTCTTAAAAATAACTGTCCATACTGTCATATATATTAAAATTATAGTATTATTTAATACTAAACAGGCTAAAACAACTAGAAACAAAGAATAAAGGCATTATTAGACTTCACAACATGATAGGAAATAAGCAATGGCTACTATAATGTCTTTTTTTCTTCAAAATAGCTGTTCATATCATCACTCGTAATACAATCAATTCTCATAAACTGTTTAGAAGTTCAAGGAATGTATACACCTCTACATGTGAATCTATCCTTTCTGTATTAGAGGGAAAAACAAAAACAAATTTTTATTTTTTGGGTACTGGGAATCAAACTCACAATCTCCCACTTGCCAGATAGGCACTTATGCTGCTGAGCTAAATCCCCAGCCCCAAAATCCTTTATTTTCTGTCCCCCAAAGCAAACATCTCCTTTCATTATGTTCAGACTCACGAGTGTCATGAAGCACTTGAAGTGCACGTGCTTGAAGTTCCCTTCCCAGAATTCCCCTCTCATGGAGCTGCGCCTGCCCCCTCTCTCCTTCTAGGGCAGCTGTGTCCCGGGACCCTGTCGAGCATCCTGCTGACTCTTCCTTTGACTCTCTCTCCTCTTAGGTCCCTCAATTCCTGCATTTTCTGTGCTCTTCTTTCTTTACTCTTGTGTTTGGAGGAATACTTCCTCCATTATTTATTGCGAAAAGTTCTTGGGAAGTAAATTTTGGAGCACTTTGTTTCTAAAAAGATCATCCTCTACCTTTACATTTTCCAAATTTGGTTGGGAATAGAATTCTGGGTTGAAATATCATTTTTCCTCAGAATTTTCAAGGCATACTTCCATTTCCCTCTACCCATATATGATTCTTGATCATCTGCATGCACAATCAACCCTCTATACCTGAAGGGTCTATATCCTGGAATTCTATATCCTCAGATTCAACCAATGTTGGATTGAAAATATTCAGAAAAAAATGTGCCTATGTTAAACTTTACTCTTGTCATATATATATATATATATATACTGTTATTTAGAGAATATATATGCTATTACATAGCATTTATATTATATTAGCTATTATAAGTAGTCTGGAAGTGATTTTTAAAAGAATATATATATATATAAGTTATATGCAATTAGTGTCACTTGTATAAAGAACTTCCTCAGATTTTGGTATCCTTGGGGGTCTTGTAACCAAATCCTATAGATACAAAGGGACAACTGTAATCTATCCCTGCTTCACAGCCAAACCTTCCTATCTGGGCTGGAGAGGTAGGTTAGTGGTAGAGGACTTGCCTAGCACTCATATGAGGCCCCAAGCTCAATCACCAGTACCATAAAATAAAAGCAACAAAAACGTATCTTTAGTTTCTTAAATGATGAAATGGCATGGTGTAGATAAATATCTACTCATTTGGAAACTCATGGTTTTTAGTGTTTTTATTATTTCTTTGATAATTTTCAATTTTCCCTGTTCTCTTTCTGAAAAATCTTACTCAGATATTGTTTTACTGAACTCATCTCTCTCTCTCTCTCATTCTCTGTTTCTCTCTCTCTCCCTCCTGTCTGTTTGCTATCTCTTTATCATTTCATTTTGCTTTCTTAGAACTTTCATTCTCTTTATCTTATAATCCTTGTACCAAGTTTTTCATTTATGTTATCATATTAATGATTCCCAAGAGTTCTTTTTTATTCTTTGAAATCGTTTTTCCTCAGTAGCTTTTTATAGTTTCATGATTGATTATCTTCCTGAGGCTAGCAATAGTAGTTGTTTGTTTTTGTTGTTTATTTTTTGGTGTAGGAAGCAGGGTTGGTCATTTTCTGTGGTCTGAATTGCTTCTGCTTCTTCCAAGTGTATATCCTCAGAAGTCTATTTATTTTTGATTATCTGTTTTTTAGTGTATGACCTTTGAAAGGTTGGGCCTTGGCTGTTCCTTGTTAAGTGATGATAGACCTTGGGAGGATAAGTGATGGGGCAGTTTCACTGGGGAGTGTGAAAAATAAGTTTTTGTGTTAATTTGTCTAGACTGAGTCCAGTTGTTTGATTAAACACCAGTCTAGACACTGCTGTAAAGGTATTTTTATAGATGTGCTTACCATCTGCAACCTGTTGACTTTAAAGAAAAGAGGTTTACTTCTGTTTTAGTGACTTTCTTTGTCACTGAAACACAATAATAGACATTTGTAATTTAAAGGAGGAAAGATCTATTTTGACTCATTTCATTCCATAGCTGGCTTACTCCAAGGAAGGACAGCATGGCAGAGGGGCCTGATGTAAGAAAAGCTGCTCATAACACAGTTGTCAGGAAGCAGAGAGAGAAGGGAGGAGCCATGGTAGGAAATAAACCCTTTCAAGTCATGCCCCCAGTACCTACCTCTTCCCACCAGACCCCACAGTTATAAAGTCTCCATAATCCACTCACCTTCCCAAGCCCCCCATGATTGTATAAGGCTTTGAGGACATTTTTGGATTTAAACCACAGCACCTTCAGTAATGTGAAAGGTTTCATCCAAACAATTGTAGGCCTAAAGAACAAAAATAAATAAATAAGATTTAAAATACAAGGCTTCCTAGAGAAAGACCTAACACTAATACTCCTCAAACTTTTTAACGAAATTGAGAAGTCAAGAGTACTTCCAAAATCTTTATGAGAAACTAACTTTATCCTGATCTCAAAACCAGACAAGGATCCAATCAAAAAAAAAGAGAACTATAGGCCAACTTCTCTAATGAACATAGATGCAAAAGTCCTTAACAAGATACTGGCAAACAGAATGCAACAAATCATCAAAAAGATCATACACTGTGATCAAATAAGCTTCATTCCAGGGATGCAAGGATGGTTCAACATACACAGATCAGTAAACGTAATTTATCACATAAACAGAAGCTAGGACAGAAATCACATGATCATCTTCATATACACAGAAAAAGCACCTGGAAAAATTCAGCGTCCACTTACGATAAAAACCCTGAAGGAAATAAGTACAGAAGGACCTTATCACATGAGAAAAGCCATTATGATCAACATTGGCCAACATCATATTAAATGGGAAAAAGCTGAAAGCTTTTTGTCTAAAATCAGAAACAAGACAAGGATGTCCACTAGTACCACATCTATTCTGTATAATCCTTGAAACATTACAGCAATCAAGCAAGAGAAAAAAACTAAAGAATGAATGAAACAAAAACATCACTATTTGTAGATGACATGGTCCCTTACTTACAAGACCCAAAAAATCCCCACCAACTGACTCCCAGAATTTAAAATCAGTAGTGTATCAGGATACAAAATAAATATACAAAAATAAATAGCATTTTGATACACAAAAATGAAGTCAGTGAAAAAGAAACTAGAAACATAATACCATTCACAGTAGCATCAAAAGTTACTTATATATTAATCTAATTAAGAAAACAAAAGACCTTTCCAATGAAAATTACATCAGACTGAAAAAAGAAATTGAAGAGGACATCAGAAAGTGGGAAAATACCCTCCATTCCTGGATAGGCAGAACCAACATAATCATAATGATTATACTCCTGAAAATAATATACAAATTGAGTGCAATCCCAGCCAAAATACCAACATCTTTTTTTTTACAGAGATAGAGAAATAACCCTGAAATTAATATGGGATCTGAAGAGACCTGAATAGAAAAAGCAATCTTAGGTAACAAAAACAAAGCAGGTGGCATCACAATCCTAGACATGAAGTTATATTATAAAACTACAGTGATTCAAATAGCATGATTCTGGTGCTAATAGAGGCATGTGGATCAATGGGACAGAATACGAAAAGCAGAAAACAATGCCAGACAAAGACAGCTGTTTGATTGTAAACAAAAGAGCCAAAATATACACTAGAGGAAGATAACCTCTTTAATAAATGACACTGGGAAAATTGGATATTCACATGCAGAAGATGCAGTTTAGACCCATTTATCTCACCATGTACTAACCTAAAATCAAAATGAATAAAAATCTGAATTTTAAAACAGAAATAGTTAATCTACTGGAAGATAACATAGTTACAACTTGTGGAGACATAAATGTAGCTAAGGACTTTCTGAACAGAACTCCAGTGATAAGAAATAATACCAAGAATCAACAATTGGGATCATATCAAATTTTAAAACTTCTGCACAGCAACAAAACAAAACAAAACAATAGGGTAAAGAGACAATTGCAGAATGGGAAAAGATTTTTCCAGCTATTCCTGGGACTAATATTAAAAGTATACAAAGAATTCAAAAAACATTAGATATATTACAATTGCAATTTTGGGCTGGGGATTTAGCTCAGCAGTATAGACACCTACCTGACAAGCTCGAGGTCATGAATTTGATCCCCAGTACAAAAAAAAAAAAAAAAAAAAAAAAAGCACAATTAAAATGAATAAACATTTCTCAGAAGTACAAATGACCAGTCCATACATGAAAAAATGCTCATTATCACTAGCCATCAGAGAAATGCAAATTAAAACTCCACTGAAATACCATCTTACCTTAGAAAGAATAGCCAACATCAAAAAATCTAATAAAAGCAAAAGCTGGTGATGATGTGGGGGAAAAGGAACTCCTCTACCACAGTGTGGTGAGAACTGGTACAACTGCCATGGAAATTCCTGAAAACTCTAGAAATGTCATTTGACTTAGTTTATTCTCCTTCTAGGTATCTTCCCAAAAGAGTTAAAATCATCATATTACAAGAACACATGTATACGCAGGTTTATAGCAGCATGACTTATGATAACTAGATCTTGGGAATAGCATGTGTGTGCATCCACAGATGAACTGATGAACTGATAAAGGTATTTGCACACTGTGGAGTATACTTGCCATAAAGATAAACTTGAGCCATTCATAGTGAAATGGATGCCACTTGAGAACATTATGTTAAGTGAAATAAATCAGACACACAAGCTCAAAAGTCATGTTTTTTTCTCATATGAGAAGCACAAAGAACAAAGTATAAGAAAATAGGAAATGAGAAGTTCAGATACTTCCCAAAATTACAAAATCCATTATTTAAAAGTATTTCAACATATTTGCTAATTGATTTCATCTATACTACTGGTTTATCTTAGTTCATTGAAAAGCAAGATTTATATGTTTTTGTAAGACTTTTTTTGGTGTATGTCATACTCTGAGCAGCTACTTTGAAGATAACAATATACAGTGTAACAACTATGGTTATGCTCTTGTTAGCTGGTTATAAAATTGTATTTTTTCACAAAATGAAAAATTTTAAGAATAAGCCTTTCCAGAGAAAGGGAATTCACTTGGCTGTGACAAGGAAATTCTGGCTCAATTTCCACCTGTTGGCCTGCCTTACAGATTTCAGACTTAAGACTACCACACCAACCCTTACTTACCTTAGTTTTTGCTTCCTGGTCAGCCCTATAGAATTCACTTTCCAGCCCCATAGTCACATGAGCTAATTTCATTGTGGTTCTTTGCAAATCCCTGACCCACAGAGCCTCTGGATATGTTTATATTTGAAGGTGTAGGATTTTTCTGTCTCCTGAGTTCATTGCAGTACCCTTCAGATTTATTGTCTGATGCCTTGTCCTGAAAAGTTACATGTGGAAGAGAAAAATTATCCCTGAATCTGCTTCTGTTGATTTTCAGTGTTAACACTTCTGAAACACATATTGTGACTGTCTTTAAACATCGATATTTTTTCAGATAGTTCAATTAGTTTGTTCAACTTTCAATTTAGGATTTTAAAAAAAATTTTGACTATGGTGCAAAAACTATTCACAGTGAGTGGAAATTGTACTTTGAACTTCAAATTTTGATCTTTTCCTGGGCTATTGATATGTGCTAGCATACTCTATGAAGATGGTGGCCAGAGAAACAAGTAACACACAGTGTACTGAGTTACTAAGCCGTGGTGTTCAATAGGCTAGGTATAGTAAGTCCAACTAATATTTCAACTTTCTATTGGTTTATTGAATCATAACTCCATTTTAAATTGGGAAACATCGTTATACTTTTCAGTGATTTTGTGGTTTTTTTTTTTTGTGTGTGTGTGTGTGTGTATGTTTAAAGAAAGAATATAGGGCCTCACCATACTAGCAAATGAACTACATCCCCAGCAAATGATTTTTTTAGACCTTAACTGAACCAAGGTAGCCAGGATAATTGGTGGTGCTGTTGTTCCTTTATCAATGCCAGAGTTCTAGACCATGAGTGTTGGATCCAAACCTGGATAATCCTATGAAAGAGATTTCCATTAAAATATTTTTTGTTTATGAGCAACAGACCTACTGACTTTGACATAATTTCAATAGTAATGGGCTTATTATCTCAAATAACTGGAACTATAGGGAGAGAGGTTTCAGGTTTGCTTCCTACGTGACACCTGATGCCATCAAGGACCTGCATGGGTTCATTGTTGCAGGTTCAGCCGTTCAGCATCCCTAGTTTGAAGCGAGGCTCTAGTTTCATGGACTCCTGAAGTTGTAGCAGTACCAGGTGTCACCAGTAGGAAGATGCCCAGCGGGGAGGAGAAGGACATTCGCTTGTGCATCTTTTTTGTTTTGATTCAATGAGGAAAAGCTTTCCCAGATGTAGCACCAGCAGTCACAGCCTCAGTGAGGATTTAGTCAAGACACCAATGTCTAAACCAGTCCCTGCGAAGAGCAGCAGTCTGCTGTGATTGCCTTTACTGTTGTTGTCTTTCTGAGCTCGTGAACACAGCACAGCACCATCGAGGGTGAGCTCAAGACCAGCTCTCAGGTGTTCAATGAAGTCTTGCTGCAGAGAGCAAGACCTATTGTCCTTTTTTCTGCCTGTCCTGAACGTGGACCTCAAACCAATGAGGTGCTAGAAGGGTTCCATACATTGGAAAGCAATTCTTGCCTTTATCTGGGCCTATAAATGTAACAATTTGGAGAGAGGAGTGGGGACATCTTACACTGTTTGTTGGACTTCTTGTAAATAAGTAGTCTTTGGCTTTAAGTACCTATTTTTCAACTTTCTGGGAACTAGGCTAAAAAGAGATTCATTAGTCTCATTTTCATTACTATAATAAAATACTTGAGTCTGTGTAACTTTGCATGAAAGAGGTTTATTTAGCTCATTTTCTAGAGGTTCAAGGTCAAAGGGCTCAATCTAGTGGTGAGCGTCTTGCTAGAAGCCTTACAGTTGTGTGGAGTATTATACACCAAGAGACAAGAAGGGGTGTGTTGTCTGTCCATCTGTCTATGTCTTCTGGATTTATTTATTTGTTTATTTCTTTGAAACAGAGTGTCACTATGCTGTTTAGGCTGGTCTTGAACTTGCAGTGATTCTCCTGGCTCAGTCTCCTGAATATTGGGATTACAGGCATGCACCACCACACCTTGCTTATGTTTTCTATTTATCTTCATCTTTTTAAATATTTTTTTAAGTACTGGTGATTGAACCCAGTGCTGCTATACCACTGGGTTATATTCCCAGTCTTGTTTTATTTTGAAACAGGGTCTCACTAAGTTGCCCAAGCTGTCCTCAAACTTGGAATCCTGCCTCTTAGCCTC